GGTCATCCCGTCCGACACATGTGTAGTGGCTTGTCTGTTTGTGTGTGAATGTGCACAACTGACCTAATTACTCATGCGCGTTCGTGACCCGTTTGCTGTCTGCTTTGACTTGTTTTCTCCTGGGTTTCGTGTGATCGCACGGCCAATGCGAACCACGAGACTGTCGTTGGAAAGGGACGACAGCAACACACTACTGAGCCATCATTCGGCTCGACGTTGTTTGGTGTGCGGTCGCTGACACTGCGCTGTGCCGGTCAGTGCCGGACCTGTGAGCTTGTTGACGCTGCGAACGTGAACAACTGAGGTTTGTTGTACACATTTGTTTACCCTTGTGTAAATGGTACCGTAGAATTTCGCACCTAATTCTTTCTTTTGATCTTCGGGATTGTCGAGCCTACGCGTCACTCGAAGTTCCGTATCGGGAACCTCGAAAAATTTGTTTTCGACTTCTCATTATTTTAATCTGCTGAATATGTGTGATCCCTCGCGAATAAGGCAAACAGTCTTCACTTGATTGGATCTTCTTGGACTGACGCGGAATTGAGTGTTCTGCCCAGTAATTAATTGCCTCCCTTGGCAATGCAGGGTAACACTCGTTTTAATCAAGCCCACCAACCCTCCTTATGGTGCATCGGATGGCTCCGTTTATCCCGCTAACCAACAGTTCCCTCTTTTAACCAGAAGGCGACCGATCGAAATCTTGCTGTGGTTTGTGCTCCGAGCTCGGTGGTCTTAACTCATATACAACAACATAGTTGAATACTGCCCCAAAGAAAGATATGGTCAGGTGGACGTGATATTTTTTATGGGTTCGTGATTGCACATACACCCAGCAAAGAATCGTTCTTAAATCATTTACAACGGGGAAACCCATCATTTTTGAACACACTGACCTAAATTTGGACAACGGCCGAAACTCCAACTGAGATATTAGTTGAGATAGTTCATACATTCAACAGCACTATCCTCAAAAAATGTGCCGAAATTCCTGTCTACTGTTTGTGAAACGACCTGCACGACACAGAGGCCCACCGATAGAATGCAACAGACTAACCACCAATATCTCTTAAAATTTCAGGTTTATTTATCATTGAATCCGACAGTTAAGGACCCAGAAAGTAACCAGATACAATTTCGGGTGCTCGCGATTTAAACAGAAGTGCTTTTCTCTTTCTCATGCCACATACTAGGTCGCTTAACCCAGACAAACTCTCCGCAGGAGCGCCCATGTATTTCGCACGAGATGGGGCTCCAGAATATAACATGGAATTAATTCTTCCGACAAATTGGCTTAGAGATTGCCTTCGATTCAAAAATATATTGTGCTTCGAGAATATCCAAACATACGGCTGTGAAACGAAAATATGGAAAAACCGTTCTTCGGCAGCCACGCTCACTGCAGACTTCAGCAGGGGTCACCCCCAGGCGCTGCACATAAATATCAGTGGTCGCCCCTTATCTAGCATGGTTAGCAACCTCATCACAACATATGTATCGACAAACTGAGGTCTATTCTGCCTCGATTGAAGCCGGGAACAAAAACACTCCATTGTCGTGCCCACCGGTATACATCCGGAATGAAGTGTATTTAAAAGTAATCTGAGAAGCTTACTGAAGGCCAACTCCAACAAGCAGAGTCAGTCGAGATTTACTTATGGAAACCCGAAGGCATGTAGGATGAGGTGTCATATGATATGGTAAGAACTGTTACATCAATGCACCATTTTCAAGCTGTTTTATTCGAGTTCGCACTAGAAATTCACCAGTACTAATCTCAACCCCTTGGTGACCCTGAGTGCTTTTGCTCCACTGATTAATAAGTTATCCGCGGATGCAGTGACACATGACGAAGGATTTCGTGTTCCAAACATTGAACTAATCATAGGATTCTACGGAATTCAGAAACTAGTCTGCCCCTGATCGTTTGACAGTAACACATCAGAACTCTCCACATATATACAACCTTAGGCACGTTCAGTGAACAATTTATGCAATCGTAGGTCCAGTGTTTACGTCAGCTCTCTAAGTTGAACCTTATAATTTCGTTGACGGAAAGGCGCTCAAGCTGTCCAGATATCCCCTATCGAGTCAACCAACTTAGGATTGCCGAAAATGGTCCTGTGCTTTGCTCACTATGTAACCAATAAAATCTTTCACAGCTCGGGGACAACCACACTTGTTGAGTGTTCAGTGCGCAGATATATGGTCAGAATGCCA